GAGCTCTCCCTACGCGTGCGCGCGTCGGCGCGGGGTGTGGGTGTGGGTTTTGGGTGTGGTGTGGGTGTGGGGGGTGGGTGTGTGTGGTGTGGGGGTGTGAGTGTGTGGGGGTAGTGGGGGGGTGGGTGTGTGTGTGGTGTTGTGTATTGTGTGTGTTGTGTGTGTTGTGTGTTGTGTGTTGTGTTGTGGGTGGTTGTGTGTGTTGTGTAAGTTGTGTGTGTGTGTGGTGTTGTGTGGTTGGTGTGTTGTGTGTGCTGTGTGTTGTGTGTGTTGTGTGTGTTGTGTGTGTTGTGTGTGTTGTGTGTTGTGTGTGTTGTGTGTTGTGTTGTGTGTGTGTTGTGTGTTGTGTGTGTTGTGTGTGTGTCGTGTGCGTCGTGTGTGTCGTGTGTGTCGTGTGTGTCGTGTGTGTCGTGTGTGTCGTGTGTGTCGTGTGTGTCGTGTGTGTTGTGTGTGTTGTGTGTTGTGGGTTGTGTGTTGTGGGTTGTGTGTTGTGTTTGTTGTGTGTGTTGTGTGTGTTGTGTGTTGTGTGTGTTGTGTGTTGTGTGTGTTGTGTGTTGTGTGTGTTGTGTGTTGTGTGTGTTGTGTGTTTTGTGTGCGTTGTGTGTGTGCTGTGTGTGGTGTGTGTTGTGTGTGTTGTGTGTGTTGTGTGTTGTGTGTTGTGTGTGTGTGTTGTGAGTGTTGTGTGTTGTGTGTGCTGTGTGTTGTGTGTTGTGTTTTGTGTGTTGTGTGTGCTGTGTGTTGTGTGTTGTGTGTGCGTTGAGTCTTACGTGTGTTGCGTTGTGTGTGTGTGTGTTGAGTGTGTTGTTTGTGTTGTGTGTTGTCGTGTGTGTTGGGTGTGGTGTGTGTGTGTGTGGTTGTGGTTGTGGTGTTGTGTGTGTTGTGTGTTGTGTGCGTTGTGTGTTGTGTGTGTGTGTGTGTGTTGTGTGTTTGTGTGTGTTGTGTGTTGTGTGTGTGTGTGTGGTGTGTGTGTGTTGGTCTGTGTTGTGGTTTGTGTGTTGTGTGGTGTTTGTTGGTGTCGGCGGTGTGTTGTGTGTGTGGTGTTGTTGTGTGTGTTGTGTGTGTAGGTGTGTGTTGTGTGTGTTGTTTGTGTGTGTGTTGTGGTGTTGTGTGTGTTGTGTGTTGTGTGTGTTGTGGGTTGTGTGTTGTGTGTGTTGTGTGTGTTGGGTTTGTGTTGTTGTTGTGTCTGTTGTGTGTGTGTTGTGTGGTGTTGTGTTTGTGTGTGGTGTGTGTTGTGGTGTTGTGTGTGTTGTCGGTGTCACTGTGTTTGTTGTGTGTTGTGTGTTGTGTGTGTTGGGTGTGTGTGTGTGTGTGTTGTGTTTTGTGTGTTGGGTGTTGTGTGTGTGTGTGTTGTGTGTGTGTGTGGTGTGTGTTGTGTGTTGTGTGTTGTGTGTGGTGTGTGTTGTGTCTTGTGTGTTATGTGTGTTGTGTTGTGTGTTGTGTGTTGTGTGTTGTGTGTGTTGTGTGTGTTGTGTGTTGTGTGTGTTGTGTGTTGTGTGTGTTGTGTGTTGTGTGTTGTGTGTGTTGTGTGTGTTGTGTGTGTTGTGTGTTGTGTGTGTTGTGTGTTGTGTGTGTTGTATGTGTTGTGTGTTGTGTGTGTTGTGTGTTGTGTGTTGTGTGTATATGAGCGTGCGTGTGCGGGTGCCTGTGCCTGTGCCTGTGCGTGTGCGTGTACGTGTGCGTGTGCGTGTGCGCGTGAGCGTGCGCGTGTTTCTGCGTTTGCGTGTGCGCGTGCGTTTGCATTTTCGTGTTCGTGTGTGTGTGTGGGTGGGTGGGTGGGTGGGTGTGCGTGTCTCTGTCTGTTTGTTTGTTCATGTGTCTGTATGTTTGCCTGTCTGGATGTGCGTTCGTCTGTTTGTTTGTCCGTCAATGTGTTTGTTTGTTTATGTTTGTGTGTGTCTGCCTGTTTGTCTGTCTGTATGTTTGTCTGTGTCTGTCTATCCGTCCGTCCGTCCGTCCGTCCGTCCGTCCGTCTGTCTGTCTGTCTGTATGTCTGCTCTTCGGCCGCCTCTGCGGTTCCTTTCTCACGTGTTTGTGATCACCCTCGGCGACGCCTTAGTGGCTCACCTGGACGCATGATGGCCCACGTTCGCTTTCTCCCCTCTCTCCTCCCTCCCTCTCCCGCCCTCCACACTCCTCCTCCCGAAGCCTTGAAATCGCCGACCGCTCCCTCGACAGCCCCCCCTTGGGCCCCCGAGCAGATGGGGTCGCGGGATCGCGCCACATCACCGACGCAGCGCCTTTGGCTTTCAAATGAAACCTCAGCTCCCAGGCGGCCGATCGGGCGCCTCAGGCACCCCTGCAGTGCCCTCGGCGCGGTGCAACTCCTGGAAAGCACCCCGAGGCTGGAAGACCGCCGAAGACCAACGAAAACGTCCGACAACCTCGGGCCTCCAACCGCATCGCCGACGCATCGCCGTCGGCCCCTCCCCGCTGGGCCCCCGGGAGCGAGCGAGGAGGCGGAGGAAGAGGGGGGGAAGGAGAGGGAGGAGAGAGAGGAGGGGGAAAAGGGAGAGGGAGGAGGAGGAGGAGGAGGAGGAGCAGCAGAAGGAGAAGGAGACGGAGAAGGAGGGGGCCTTTCGAGACCTTTCGAGCCGCCACAAATCGCGGCTGTCGCCGCGGGCGCGCCCCTCGCGCGCGCGGGCGCTCTTCCCGCGCAGCGCGCGCCCCCGCTCTCTGGCCACTCCCCTGGGTGCGCCCGTTTTCTCGATGGGCCCCCCAGGTTGCGCGATTCTGGGCGGGCGCCCCGCCGGCGCAAGCCTGCGCCCCTCCTCTTCGAGCGAGGCCCGCGGCGCTTGGGCCCCTCGTCCCGGCACGCCCCCATTCTCAAGGGGTCCCCTCTCAGGGTGCCGGGCGGCCACGGGCGCCCGCCTGCTGCGCCGCGCCCCCGCCTTGCTGCCGCGCCGCTCGGAGCCGGCCCAGCCGCCGCCACCTACTCCGCAACTGGCCCCGGCGTCCTGGCCTCGGCGTGATCCGCGTCGGGCAACGTCTGCCGAGGCGCGACCTGCGCCCTCCGGGCCTCCGCCGCGGCCTGCCGCCCCCGCTGGTTCAGGCGCGCGCGCGCAGCCACGGGAAGCGCCCACGCGTCGGCCGTGGCCTGCGCCCTCCGGCTGGCTTGCAGCTGGCACTCCACCCTCTCGTAGAAGACTTCGCGGTCCTTCTCCGCCAGCGCCACCAGTCGCTCGGCCTCGGTTTCTCCCCGTTCTGCATCCAGCACCGTCTCGTCAGGCGCCCTGCGGGAGCGTTCCTCCTGGCGTGGCGCGCTCGGCCTCTCTTTGCACCGCGGCCGCGCCTGCTCCAGGCTCGCCGCCGCGGTCTCGGCCACGGCCTTCCCGCTCGGCCAGGCTGCGCTGGGTCGCAGCCTCCTGGGCCTCCGCCGGCGCTGCCGCGGCCAGCTCCTGCAGCCAAGGCGGCCACGCCGCGCTGGCTCGCAGCTCCCGGGCCTCCAGCGACGCCCCCGCCGGCCAGCTCTGGCGCCTCCGCGAAGGTCGGCTATGCCTGCGCCTGGCGCTCGCGGCCGCGGGGGGAGGAGGAGGAGCAGAGCGGAAACGGGAACGGGACGCCTATGCGGGCACGTGCCCGGCCCCCTCCAGGGCGAGGCGGGCGAGGCCATGGCCTCACATGACAGGCTGCGCGCGCTGGGCGCCTTCTTGCGGGGGTGCGCGGTCCACGGAAAACGTCCAGCCGTTCCCACGCCTTTGCTGCAGCCGGCTGCAGCCACGAGGTGTCACTGAGGTCATAGCGCCTTCGCGGTGTCTGACGTCGGCTGTCTTCGGCGCGACGGCGGCGGAGAAACCCGCGAACATCATCGTCCCATCTCTGTCCGGTCCAGTCTGGGCGGCGTGGAGGCTGGTGTGCCAATGAAGAACGCGTTGTAGCCAGTCGTGCGGTAGTTGTTTCGCAACGCGGGCTGCGCATCTTTATGTCATCTTTCGCCGCATTGCCACCCAATCGTGTGGTTTGTGTTTGTACATGAGAGCCTCTGCTTGTCGAGTCGCTCGCTTGATGGCTCCAAATTGTCGTTCCCAGGTTGGTTGTCCCTGTTGTCGTCTATGTTGTCGGTATCTGCGTCGCTGGTTTCGTTGCTTACGTGGGCGGCCAGCGGGTTGCAGTCTACATCTTCTCTGTTGGTGCTGTCTGCGCCAGACCCTGGGGCTGCTGTCGAGGTGGCTCCTGCGTGCCGGTCGCACTGCGAGCTGGTCTGACGTCGGCGCGTCGTCGTCGTGGGGTACCGATAGCCATGCGCAACATGCGCCGTTGTGTGCGTTGCAGCTGCTGTCACAGAGGCCCAGTCAACGCCCAAGTACTTGCGGCAAAGAGAATTGTCGGCGCGGCCGTGCCATCAAAAAGCTGGAGCCGTTGTTTCAGCGGATAGTGTTCTCAGGCGGTTCTTCACCTCTGTGGATACTGCGTCGTCGAAGCTGATGCGATGACCCAAATAGCTCACTGAACCAGTGTATGTCAAGATCTCGATATCGGGGCCGTCGATTGTCACATTGCGTTGATGTGTTCTCCCAGTGCGTTCAGACAAGCTGGACAGAATCTTCGTTTTGTCGCGATGTATATGAAATCCGTGTCTGTGTACTGCCGTGGCCATATCCTTATGCATCGTGGCAGGGTGAGTGAGCGTCCGGCCTACAAGTAGAACGTCGTCAGCGAAGCGAAGGCTCGTGAGACAGCATTCTGGTGACAAATCCCAATTGGATTCCTTGGGGGCGTTGTTGCCACATGGTGAGGAGGAGGAGGAGGAGGAGGAGAAATGGGAGGAGGACGAGGAGGAGGAGGCGGAGGAGGAGGAGGAGGAGGCCGAGGCGGAG